GTCCAGTTGCTCGGTCGTGTCCCACTCTGCGAGCGCATGGACTGCAGCATGCCAGGCCTCCCTTTCCATCACCAACTCCCGGAGCCTACTCAAACTCAGGTCCATTGAGTCGGTGATGCCATCCAACCATCTCACCCTCTGTCGTCCCCTTCTCTTCCCACCTCAATCTTTTCCAGCATCAGGGTCTTTTCCAATGTATGGTGGTGATGGTGGTTTAGTCACTAAGTCGTGCCCGACTCCTGCAACCTCATGGGCTGTAGCCCACCAGGCTCCTCTGTTCATGGGATTTTCCAGGCAAGAATACTGGAGTGGGTTGCCATTTCATTCTCCTGGGGATCTTCCCGACCCAGGAATCGAACCCAGGTCTCCTGTGTTGCAGGCAGATTCTTTACTGACTGAGCTATCAGAGAAGCCCTCATACATTTCCAATGTATACATATATCCCCTTATAGATTTCCTTCCCACTGAGGTCATAACAAAACACTAAGTAGAGTTTCCTGTGCTATACAGTAGGCGCTCATTAGTTATCTATTTTATACATAGTAATATATATATATATATGCCAATCCCAATCTTCCAATCCATTCCACCTCCCTTTCCCCCGCTTTGGTATCCATAAACTTGTTCTCTACATCTCTAGCTCTGCTTTGCAAATAAGTTCATCTGTATCATGTTTCTAGATTCCACATATAAGCAATATTATACATCTGCTTTTCTCTGACTTACTTCACTCTGAGTGACAGACTCTAGGTCCGTCCACGTCTCTGCAAATTACCCAATGTCATTCCTTTCCTTGCCTGAAGAATCCCAGGGACAGAGGAGCCTGGTGGGATGCTGTCTATGGGGTCGCACAGAGTCGGACACGACGGAAGCGACTTAGCAGCAGTAGCAGCGGCATTCCTTTTCAAGGCTGAGTAATGTTTGTGGCAACCCTATGTACAATATAGCCAGGACATGGAATCAGCCTGAATGCCCACCAACAGAGGGATGGATGAAGAAGATGTGGTACATATATACAAGGGTCCTTGGATTTAGTACCACTTGCTTTGCCGCCCTGCGGGTCTGCACAGTCCTCCAGGGTTCTTGGGTCCCTGCGTTAGAAACACCGGCCAAGGTGGGCCTGACCCTACGCGTCCGGGCTCACATCTGCTAGGAAACCAGCTGATGGACTTTTCTGCAGAGGAGAGTCCTACCTCCACAGAGCTCAACTAAATGTTCATCCGTGGAAACAGATGGAATTAGTAATGAATGTCTGAGCCAATGTTTTAGGTCAAAATTATGCTTTCAACACATTTCAAAGTTGTCATTTCTTGATTTGTTCTCTAGTAACATCAATAAATCCCCTGTCCTTAGTACAACGCAAGGCTAGAACAAAAGTGAGGCAAGGGAGGCACTCACTGCGGGCGCAAAATTTAAAAGAGAGCTTAAATAACTCAGTAATTGAATAATATTTTAAATACAACATTTAAAAAATATACAATCAGCCAACTGAAGCCTACAGGCTAGCTATCTATTTCTGAACACAGAATGTTACCAGAAAAAGAACTAGGATTAGGGTGAAGTATGGCAGTCATGCAGGTTTTAGTTGGATTTTGTCTTTAGTCTTTAAAATGTTGATATTTTGTTCATTAAGGATTTTTTTGCACTTTTTTTACTTTTTCAAGTAATTTCAAAATAATTTTGGCTTTTAAATTTATTTTTTAATTAAAATATTTTTGAGGCCTAATTTTTCAAGATCGTTATTTTTCTTAGACAACCATTATATCTTGATATACAGCACAAATGTTTTATATATATTTCCCAATTTATCACAGAGAATGTAAAAAGATGTATTTAAGAATCCAGATTTAATAAAATTAATCTTTACCACTCTGCCAAGGATATTAATGAAATTACGTTTATCTTTTACTATATGTACACAGTTGCCAAAAGTTTATTTGCCATTACTTTTACACTACTAATGCAAATGCCAACATAATAAAAAAGGCAAAAAGCATCTTAGACTTCTTATGCAAATACTTTGGGTCCCACACATCCCTTGACAGGGTCTTAGGAAAACCCAGAAATCTATAGATCACACTTTGAAAATTGCTGCCTTAAAGGATAAGGTTTTAATGATTTAAAGGTTAAAACCATTAAAGGTCAAAACCATTATCCATAACGAGCTAAGATCCTCAGTCAGATGGCGGCAACAAAATTATGACTAACTCCAAAGTTAGCGTTGCAGAAACAAACGGTGAAGAGTCAAAGCAAATTGATCCATCTGTCGTATAAACAGCTCTGAGCAATTAGGAAATCTTCAAAGCTCAAGGTATGGGCAAGATGTGAAAGAATCTGAATGCTCTGAAAATAATCAGTAATCAAGCCGGCAGGGCCATTTTAGGGCAACGGAGCGGAGGAAACCTGCTCCCCCTTCATTTCTCACCTCAGTTGTCTCCTGGGAATGAGGCAGCAAAGGAAACTATCTCAGTAGCAGGAAGATCGAGGCAAATATACCACACAGAGCACCTCTAGGCTGTTCAAAGGTCCTGGGGCCTGTCTGCCTGGTGGGAAACCTCTTGCCACTTCCTAGCATCTAACTGTGAGCATATTCCCAAACCACTATCTGTCCCAGTCTCCTCACGGGTACTACGAATATAATATTAAATACCTTCCTCCTGTGACTCTTGTAAAGAGCTCATGAGATGATGTAGTAAAGCTCTGAGCACAGTGCCCGAGAGAGTAAATATTTAGTAAATGTAACATGAAAAACAAACCTACTGGGACTTGCCTGGCAGTCCAGTGGCTGGGACTTCGCCTCCCAACGCAGTGGGTTTGGGTGTGAGCCCTGGGTGGGGGGCTAAGATCCCATAGGCCTCATGGCCCAAAAAAGCAAACATAATAAAACAGAAGCAATATTGTAACAAACTCAGCAGAGACTTTTAAAATGGTCTACATCAAAAAACAAACAAACAAAAAAACCCTTCTGTATCATTACCCTGTGTTCAGTGACTTTTCCCGGACCGCACAAATGCTTAGCTCACTGTCTTATTGGTGTTAGGTGTTCAGTAAAGGTTAAATCCTCCCTCCAGCCAGACCAGGAAGCCTGTCTGGACCTGTCATTTTATCCACGCTGCTCTGAGTGTCATGGGTTTTTCACCAACAATTCACTGAGAAAAATGATGCTTAAATACCAGAAAATATACCAACATGCAAATCGTCATGTAGAAATGAAAATGTTATATGACAGAATCATGCTTGATATTTGCTTAAAGTTGTGTTTAATGATGTTGAAAACCCATGTGAAAAACAAAGGGATTGTTTTAAAAAGTCCAAGCTAACAAACCATTTAATCCGAGAGAAAAACATCCCTTTTTCTAGGCTTCTGTGGCAGACAAAATGTTTGCTCTCCCACAAACATGTCTACGTCCTAATCCTCAGAACCTGTGACAAAGTTGTCTTACGTGGCAAGAGCCTTTGTAGAAGTGATTAGGTTAAAAAACCTGGAATGGGGAAATTATCCTGGTTTATCCCTGTGGGCCCAACATCATCACAAGGGCCCTTAGAAACAGGAGAGGAAGGCAGCAGTCAGCAGTCAGCCAGGGGACGACCTGACGGCAGAAGAAAGGCACAGAGAGAAGCCACACGCTGCGTCTGGAGACTGAGGGAGCGGCCCCGCGCCAGAAACACAGCCTCCAGAAGCTGGGGAGGGCAGGGGAGCAGAGGCTTCCCCAGGGCCTGCTAACAGGAACGCAGATCGGCAGCTTGACTGCAGCTCGGTGACACCCACGTCACACTTCTGCACGACAGAATTACAAGATAATCAAGCGGTGGGGGCTGCTGAGGATAAAGTAGGTAACCAACGAGAACTCCACCCCGTGCTCCGCGGTCAGTCAGCTCAGTCGGGTTTGACCGTTGTGCGACCCCATGGACGGCAGCCCACCAGGCTCCTCTGTCCGCGGGATTCTCCAGGCAAGAATACTGGAGGGGGTCGCCACTTCCTCCTCCAGGGGATCTCCCCAACCCAGGGATCGAACCCATGTGTCCTGCATGGCAGGCAGATTCCTCACTGTCTGAGCCACAGGGAAGCCCACACCCGGTGCTTCCAGAGCACGGGGCTGCATGCTTGGTGACCTGTGGGGACCTAAACGGGAAGGGAATTAAAAAAGAGGGGGGGTGTGTATACGTGTGGCTGACTCATTCTGCATACAGCAGAGCCTGACACAGCAGTATGAAGCAGCTATGCTCCAGTATGTTTTTATTAATGTGGTACATATATGCAATGGAATACGACTCAGCTGTAAAAAAGGATGAACCAGTGCCACTTCCAGCAACATGGATGCAACTGGGGATGATCACACCAAGACGAGTCACAAAGAAAGACAAGCACCACAGGCTATCACTCTTACGTGGAATCACCGTGGGCAAGCTTCAGTGCCCAAGAAAATAAGTAGCCAGCTCACCAGGGTGGGAACTAACCAGGCCCCTGGCTTCACCCAGCTTCCCAGTGCAGCTTCTAGCCATTCCAAGGCCACAGAGTCAGAGACTTGACCACTCACGGCAGTCCCCACCCCTGAAGATCTGGATTCTTAAGGTCTGAGGTACAAGAACATCCACATGTAACCGGTGACTCTGATAGAGATGGTTAGCCGTCCACACTTTTAGAGACATCCGTTTTACCCAGAGGGAGCTTGTAGTTAGGCGCTGAGTAAATATAGTTCCATCTGTAATAGATGAATCCATATGCATCCTCCCAAGGAGAGGTGAACAGCCAGGGACAAAGGTAAAAGGCTAGCAATGGCCCAGAACACACAGATCCTTCCACAGGCTTCTGTTAAGAAACACGAGGTGCAGAGTTAAGCCCGAGGAGACCTCCGCCTGCTCTCTCCTAGGCAGCCAGGCTCAGGGCCCTGGAGCAGACACAGCAGAATCCCGGCAGCCCTGCAGACCTCTCTTGGGAAAGCATCCCTGGGAAGCACAGACCTCCGTCCCAACCCTCCCCAGCCCCTCATCTGGCCTACCTGTCCCCCCTGCTTCTTGAGGAGGTGGTGATGAGCTGGCCCAGGGTGCATCATCTTCAAACTGAACCCAGCTGCTGATGGCCGAGACCAGATCAGGTGGGCGCTGCTCGGGGCTCCCAGGAGGCGAGGCCGCTTCAGAGATGAGGCCCAGCTTTTCAGAACAGTCATCGGGCTCTGAGTGGGAAAGGTCCTGAGAGCCTCCATCCAAGACATGGTGCTCCCCAGAGGAGCTCTCGGACTGGTCTGAGCAAGAGGAGGCTCCTGGGACATGCTCTTTGGGGCCCCCTGAAACAGATACCAGAAACTGCCATCAGCTCAGAGGTGGAAGGTCACTCTTCAGGACTGTCTCGTGGAGGAAAAAAACAGAAAAGGCAACGGGTGATCAAAGGACTCACCATGACAGGGTGTGAGAGGAAAGAGACAGCCATGCCCACTGCTTCTATGCTAAAGAAGTGTTTTCCCAAAAATGAATGAAAACTATACCCTAGGACGTGGTGCTGGAGAAAACTCTTGAGAGTCCCTTGGATGGCAAGCAGACAAACCAGTCCATCCTAAAGGAAATCAACCCTGAATATTCATTGGAAGGACTGATGCTGAAGCTGAAGCTCCAATACTTTGGCCACCTGATGCGAAGAACTGACGCATTGGAAAAGCCCCGATGCTGGGAAAGATTGAAGGCGGGAGGAGAAGGGGACGACAGAGGATGAGATGGTTGGATGGCATCACCGACTCTATGGAGATGAATTTGAGTAAGCTCTGGGAAATAGTGAAGGACAGGGAAGCCTGGCATGCTGCAGTCCATGGGGCAGCAGAGTCAGACATGACTTAGTGACTGAACAACAACAAAAGCTGTCCCCGGCAGTCTCCATGCAGGCTAAGACTGGGAGTCTGGTCTGGTTCACTATTCTTATCCTACCATCTACTTTAGTGCTTGGGGGGTCACACACAAAAAATTGTTGCGAAGGCCAAGCAAGAAATAGAACTAGGTCAAATTGAAAAGCAAAAGGCAATAGGGATTGCTGGAGACTGTGGCTCAACAGGCGACCTTCTGTCTGGGCTAAAAACACCCCAATTCAAAGTGTGTACAATCAAGGACACATATCTGCGGGCCACCACAACCGAACTCTGCACGAATGACCAGCTCAACGTGGCACAAAGACCCTTCCTCTAGCTCTGTTTCACTTTATTGGTCCTGGAACAGTTGACAGCCTTCGAATATTTGTTTTTAAATAACAGACTTGACCCCAATTGTGGTGGTGATTACACAATCTATACATGTGTTAAAATTCATCAACTGTAGGCCAAAAATGATCAAGTTTACTGTATGAAAGCTTCTAAAAAATAAAGGTACTCATATGAAACTCCTTTCTCCCATCACTAGCCAAACAAACTGGTCCACTCGAATGTAATCAAAGCCTTTAGACAAGAGCTGTCCCAAAGAAATAAAAGGTGGGCCACATACGTAACTTTAAATTTTCCAGTAGCCACACTTAAAAAATTAAAAAGAAACAGGTGAAACTATTCTTAATAATGTATTTCAACTCAATTTGTTGAAAATGTATAATTCCAACACATGATAAAAAATTGATAAAGAAACATTTATCTTTAACTAGGTCCTCGAAATTCAGTGTGGCTATTTCACATTTCTTGAAGTGTTAGTTACTCAGTTGTGTCTAACTCTTGTGACCTCATGGACTGTAGCCCGCCAGGCTCCTCTGTCCATGGGATTTCCCAGGTAAGAATACTGGAGTGGGCTGCCATTTCCTTCTCCAGGGGCTCTTCCCGACCCAGCGATCAAATCCCGATCTGCATTGCAGGCAGATTCTTTACCATCTGAGCCACCAGGGAAGCCCAGTTTATAGGCGTCTCAGTTCAGACTGGCCACGTTTCAAGGACTCCATAGTCACATAGCTATAAAGCTTACAGCATGCCCGTAAACTCCACTTTCCAGGTGCTGTAAATGAAGCTGGGATGATTCAGGAGGCAGCCGCAGGGGCCATGGAAGAAAAGCAGCTGACATGGCTCTGTAAAAAGCTCCTGCATCCTACCATGACCTTCACCCTTGAGCACAGTCCCACAGAAGTCAACCTAGCCACCTGCACCATGATCACGAGTGACAACTACTGAGTTCTCTGCATGTGCCCGTCCCGGTTGTAAGCGTTTTTTATATGTTAATCATTTAATCCTCACTGCCACCCTGAGGTCGGCACTGTGATTATCCACATTGCTCAGATGGACTACCACCCAGAGAGGTAAACAAATCATCCGCCCAATTATCCACATCCATGATGGAGCCAGGATTTCAGCCCAAGGGATCTGGCTTGAGCGCCTGTCAGTCTTTTTGACAACTGTCCTTTGAAAACTGAGACAAGCCAAATGGCTGTTGGGAGTAATAACCAAAAAGACTGAGTGTAAAGTACTTGGTAAATAGGAAGTTTATATTCAGGGCTTCCCTGACAGCTCAGTTGGTAAAGAATCAGCTTGTAATGCAGGAGACCCTGGTTCAATTCCTGGGTCAGGAAGATCCCCTGGAAAAGGGATAGGCTACCCACTCCAGTATTCTTGGGCTTCCCTTGTGCCTCAGCTAGTAAAGAATCAGCCTGCAATGCAGGACACCTGGGTTCGATCCCTGGGTTGGAAAGGTCCCCTGGAGAAGGGAAAGGCTACCCACTCCAGTATTCTGGCCTGGAGGATTCTATGGACTGTATATTCCACGGACTTGGTAAATATGAAGTTTATGTTCATTGAAAGAAAGCAATGATAAGGAAGTGAAGTGATAAGTGAAGTGAAATGAAGGGAAGTGATAAACTGACTTTTTCCTTGTCAATATCCTACTGAGGACTTCCTGGTGGCCCAATGGATAAGACTCTGCCTGTCAATGCAGAGGACACAGGTTTGATCCCCGGTCCGGGAAGATTCCACATGTTATGGAGCAACTAAGCCCATGCACCAGCACTACAGAGCCAGCACTGGAGAGCCCACACACCACAGCTAACCAGCCTCCGTGCTGCAAGGACTGAATCCACCATGCACCTTCAGCCCGTGCTCCACAGCAAGAGAAGATACCACATGCTAAACCTGCACACTGCAGGTTTATAGAGAGAGTGGCCCCCGCTCAGCACACCTAGAAAAAGCCCGTGCAAAGCAACCAAAACCTGGTACGGCCAAAAATAAATAAATGAAATGTTAAATAAAAGACCCCATGAAAAGAAGGCTCCAATAAAAGCCACGACACACAGGTGTGGTCCTTAGTTAATTTTTTCACGTAGGCAGTGAAAGCTCTCCTTACCCTCAGAAGGGATGGGAAAGAGTGGCTCCTCATTGAAGGAGACCCACTCGGACTGGTGGGTGGCGATCACATGGTCCAGGGTCGTCATGCTAGGAAGGTGCTGGGCATCTTCACACTGCAGGCCTCAGGCAGACCCCAGAGCAATGTCTGGGGCTGGGCAGGGGTCTGGGAGCGCAGAGGACGTGGACCTGGGGTCTGTTGTGGGGTCTCGCGGAGAGTGGCACGCAGAACGTGGACAGAGTAGCCTCTCTTGCCTTTGGTTAATCTGCCAAGCAGAAATCTGTTTTTAAAAAATAATAAAAATTACAGGGGATAACCATCACATTATAATAAAAATCACAGGGGATAACCATCACATTATAACCAGGCCACACAGATCTGGGCTTGCCACCGTGTCCACCAGGAGACCCGGGTTGTTTCCAACCTATTTCCCTTTCTCTGTCCCTGTCTTGCCCACACTTCTCAATAGAAATATCTTCCGTGAGCATGGAGATCTCTGCGTGTACCTTCACACCAGATTCACAAACGTTGTTGCCGTTGCTGTGCAGCTGCCCAGTCATGTCCAGCTCTTTGCGACCCCACGGACTACACCACGCCAGGCCTCACTGTCCCTCACCGTCTCCCAGAGGTCGCCCAAATTCTTGTTCATCGCATCGGTGATGCCGTCCAACCATCTCATCCTCTGACGCCCTCTTCTCCTTCCGCCCTCAGTCTTTCCCAGCATCAGACAGATTTACAAATAATCGCACACATTTTAGCAAACAGATTTTCAAATGTTCCCACTTACTATATTTTGGAAATAATTTTCCTCTATAATATAATACCATTATTGTAAAACTAATATCAACATTTCTCAAAGAGCTTTCACTTTCCTTTACCAGATGGCAAAATAAAAGCACGTTCTTTCCTATTAAATCAGCGTGGTTTCTTGCCTTAGGCAGGTAGCTCTTTGCAAGCCTGATTTAAACCTTTGGCAGAAACCCAACCATCTCCAGATGGTATCTCCGAGCACAATTTACCAGTCAAGAAAAACAGAAATGGATTTATCTTGTTCATTTGGAGTAAGGGGGGCAGGGCGTATTTGCTGTAGTGGAAAATGTGAGTTAAAAGAAACACAATTGCATTCTAGGTCGATTTGAATTAGCATGTAAAAGGGTAGCCTTTACTCACGTTGCAATTATGTTCCATGGAAGAATACTTACTAGACGTCTAATATTGTTTGTACTATTAATGCCTTCTTTTTACAACTGGAACTTTTCTTTTATTTGGAGCGTAATTGCTTTACAACGTTGTGTTGGTTTCTGCCATACAACAATGTGAATAAGTACACACACGCCTCCATGAGCCTCCCTCCCACCACCCCCATCCCACCCCTCGAGGCTGTCACAGAGCACTGTGCCTTCAGCTCCGCATTATACGGGCAACTTCCCACCAGCCATCTACTTTACACCCGGGAATGTATATGTTCCCATGCTACTCCCTTGATTCATCCCACCCTCTCCTCCCTCCCTGTGTCCACAGTCTGTTCTCTCGTCTGCATCTCTACTCCTGCCCTGCAAATAGGTTCATCTGTACCGTTTTTGTAGATTCCATATATAAGCATTTATATATGATATTTGTTTTTATCTTTCTGACTTATTTCACTCTGTATTATAGGCTCTAGGTTTATCCACCTCACTAGAACTGACTCGAGTTGGTTTCTTTTTATGGCTGAATGATATTTCACGGTATGTGTGTACTCCATCTTCTTTATCCATTCATCTGTCGATGGACATCTAGGCTGCCTTCATGTACTGGCTGCTGTAAGTAGTGCTGCAATGGACACTGGAATACACGTGTCTTTTCGAATTATGGTTTTCTCAGGGTATATGCCCAGTAGTGGGATTGCTGGGACATATGGTGGTTTTATTCCTATTTTTTAAGGAATCTCCATACTGTTTTCCATAGTGGCTGTATCAATTTACATTCCCACTAATAGCGCAAGAGGGAATCTAACTCTTGATCTTGGAATGAATTAGTAAAGTCTGAAAATGCAAAATTAGTGCAATTAATTCCCAGAATTAATAAAAATTAATGTTTCCCCATAAGAGCTACTATCCACTTTGAACAGTATCAGTTGCTATTAATTGGATATTCAATATCCATTTTAGTCTAGAACAATTTAACTCATAGCCTTCTAACTAGTGCACCATAAGAAAATGTTGAAATTTTACTACACATTATTACCTGCAGTAAACATTCTATGCTGAGGATAACCAGAATAGAAACATTTAATAGCTTTGTTATTTTGGTAATTACAACAATTAATTTTGCTGCATGATACTTGCTAACATTAAATAATGTTCCTTATAGAATCTATAGTTTTCAGAAACCTATTTTCATACCATTCTTTGATTCAATAGCCCTTGTAGTTGGGTAAGACAGGTATTACCATAGTTCTTTCACAGATGAAGAAATCTGGGCTGAGGGAAGTTAAGTGACTTATCCAAAGCTTCTGTTGTTTTGAGGCTTTTGTATGGTACACTAAGATTCCTAAGATGTTTCCTCCAGGTTTTTAAGTGGAAGAATTCACATATCCTAGGATAGTGACAAATGGATTCTTCTTATTCCACTGTAAGAGACCACCAAAAATGAATCAAGTAGAGGTCATCACAAGCAGGGGTGTTAGATGCACCAGGCTAGGAAGTGAAGGATGCAACACTTGAACCCAGGTCTTCTGATGCCAAAACACTCTAATCTTTGGGTCACAGCCAGAAAGAAACACACTGGAGAATATATATAGAGAGAGACTATCCCCCAACTGAAGCACTCTACAGACATCAGTTCTAATAGAACTATAGTGAAATGATTGGTGAAACTCCTCACTGGACATCTGCGAGGGAATCCAAGCTGTGCAGAGAATTGAAAGTTCTCTTCCAAGTTCCTCTCCTAAGATCCTTACAAGTCATGGGACCAGATATGTGCAAACAGCCTAGAGAATGACTGCTCCAACCAGATCTCACCAGATAACCATGCAGCGCTCACAGACCCAAAGAGCTGAGTCTGGTGGGCTTCCTCCATAAGCCTCTCTCCAGTCTGTCAAATGCTAGCATTGCTCAGTGTGGTAACGGCTGCAGGCCAAGGTAAGAAAGTAAAACTGAAGAGTCAGATCCCCTCTCTCCAACAACAGCAGCGTGTAAACCAGCTCCAACAATAGCCACCACAAAGCCACAGTCCAAGTCCACATGCTGACACATGCAGCCTCATAGTTCAATGGGGAAAATATCCTGCCCATCCCGTGATGGTGAATCCCGTGAGATTCACGGATGGGAATGTGGGTGGGTGAGGGGAAGCAGAGAGTGAGAGGAAAAAGGGTGAAGATAATGGACAAAATAGCTAGAAATTTTAGAACTCAGACCTTTTAAAGACCAGTAGTCCAGCTCTCAACTTCCACAGATAAAAAACAAACAGACAAACAAACAAAACAGAACAAAACAACCCAAACTGAGGCCCAGGGAAGTCAGGCAGAGCAACAGCAGAGACTGAGATAGGCTGGGGAGTTCCACTGTCTGGGTTTGAATCACATACAGTCTGTAAGCCTCAGCTCAACCCGGTGCAGCAAGAAAAACAAAACTCATCAATATTCTAAGGCTTAAGTAAGATACTATACATCAAGCGCTTAGCACTGTGCTAAAAAACGCTCTGTAAAACAGTGATGATCAGAGCAGGTGAGTTTCCAGAGGGCTCAGTGTGCAGCAGGCTCTCGTCCAGACTAAAAACGCCAGCTATGGCCGTCACCGCTGTAGGAAAATGACGCGCACTGCTTATCAGTGGAAGTTTTGAGATCAGAAAGCAAATTTCGTGAAACCACCCCATTTCTGTCACTGGCCCATTCCGATTTTAGTGATTTCCCTTTTCAACTCCTTCTTAGAGCAGTTCTCCCAGATACTAAGTGGAGTCAGGCACTCAATGCCCTCTTCCTAGATGCAAGTGCTTCTGGCTGGGAAACCGAGACACCTACTCAGAAGTATGAACAGAAGAGGAGCCCCCAAGATTGATCTCCCCTTTCCAGTCCATCCCAGAGCCAGACTTGACCTGGTTACAGATCATGAGACGTCTCAAGAAAGCCTCCAGGACAGCACTGAGTGCCAGGAACGCCCTATCCTAACCCTGTGAAATCTACTCTAGGTGTGTGCCATGAACCAGCCACATCCAGGGAACCCTGAGATGCCTGAGCTTAGAAGAGCTGAGAGCCCACAGAGGAACCCGATCACCATGAGGCCATGCTCAGACCGGAACTGGTTTCTCTGCAAAAACCTCACCCCATTTTTAGAACATGAATCATGAATTGAGGCTTAGGCTCGCCACAAATGAGCGGTGACTCACGATCAGCAACAGGGTTGACCAGGAGCCACTCAAAACCTCACTGAAGTTTCTGGGCTGCCACTGCAGAGAGAAGCTCCTTCCTCGGCTTCCCTAACAACACTCAAATGTGGGTGTGGAGAATGCAGTTGCTGGATAAGATGAGAGCCTAGAAACAGATCTGCCTTATGGCAATCTCTTACTATGCACTCATGAGCCGTAGGTGTCCAGAAATGTACTAGGCACCCTTTGAGATACTGGGAGACCAGGCAGCTCGCAATCTAGCTGTAGACGTGAAGATGCTCAGAACAGTGAACACAACAAACCTGGAAATAGCTGCCTGCTGGAGACACACTGGAAATGCTGCAAAAATTTGGTCACAGAGAGATCTGCAAGGGCTAGAACCATCAGGGATTGAGCAGGATTTGGGATTTGAAAGATATCCTTGGCTGAAAGATACCAGGGTTTCCCTGGTGGCTCAGGTGGTAAAGAATCCATCTGCAATGCAGGAGACCTGGATTCAATCCCTGGGTTGGGAAGATCCCCTGGAGACTAGGGAATAGCTACTCACTGCAGTACTCTTGCCTGCAAAATTCCATGGACAGAGGAGCCTGGCAGGCTACAGTCCATGGGGTTGGAAAGAGTCGGACACGACTGAGCAACTAACACTTGTACTTTTTTCACTTGGCTCTGAACCACCAGAAGGAAAAAGTAAGGCCACCCTTGGGACAAGGGTCAGCCTAAGTG